CCCCGACGCAATAAAAAAGTATATTGCGGTGTTTTTTTTGTTGGGGGGGGGGGGGGCGGTTTCATTTTTCGGCCTACGCTGAAATTACATTATTTACTTTAAATGGCCACATAGCTATATTAGGTATATGCCGTTTACCAAATATTAGCATGAAGCCATGTAAGGTCAATGATGTCACTGTATCCTGCCCCTTTGCTTACATCAAGCTGCAAGTGGGGAATTCCCTGCCCGCAGCTGATTGGATGGCATGGAAGGGGTATTCAGGGGGTGCTCCTTCTGGGTTTGAAGGAGCTCAGGTTCGGGCTGGATTTGATCCAAACCTGAGCTCATCCCTAATTGTGACAAAACATGGGCTCATCATGACCTGAAAAGTAGGCCTTTCAACATTTTAAGGGGTCAAAAAAGAAACCTGTACTGAGAGAAATATCAAGGCTGCCATTACTGATCTCCTTTTGAAAATACTACTTGCCTGGCCGTTATTCAGATACAATGGCCTCAACACTTTCATAATCACTGACCTAGAGCAAGCTAAGCTTTAAGCTCAGAGTTTGTTTTCTGAGTTTTCCAAAAATACATTCTCCGCATTCAAAAAAAAGTCTGATAAGTAAATGATTTTCTCTCTAGGCTCCTGACCTGTGCTAGGTGCAGCTTCTGTAAGGGACACAATCGCTGGCTCTAAAAGCACTGAAGCCTAACTGGCTGGCTGCTCTGATTGTTCAGATGAGATGTTCCAGGTCTTGGCATTCAGAGGGCTGATGCATGCAAAGTCCAAATCTCCTAACCAACAGACCAAACAATGCCGGGCCAGCTGAATGTGAAAGCTAATGAAATAATTATTCGACTCTATGCTTCTTAAAACAATGCAGGCTGTGCATCAGCAGAGCTGGGTTTTCATCAGAGCTGTAATCCAGTATTATCGCTTTGCATCACGCTGGAACTGTTTTGTAAATAGTCCTGGCACTGTTCTCCTGTCTACGTCCCTTATAAATGTGACCCGGAGCAGTAGGCCCATTACTGGAACAAGCGGGTACTGGCATACGGGTAAGATCTGCTTACTTTTGGATTTGACTCTTTTGGCTCTGGTTTGAGCCTGACTGAGGAAAGCGATACACAAGTTAATACTTAAGAAGAAAAAGTCACACGAGACCCCTGCACAGATTTATTCCTTAGTATTCCAGATTTATTCCTTAGAATTCCAATCCATCGTGAACATAATAGAGCCCTTGATGGGTATAATAACAAAACTGGTAACAATTTATTCATTTGCCAAATGATATTTCATTAACTGTCTATTAGCTATTGTTTAATATACACTGTATTAGATAAAATCACTTATTTTCGTATATATATACTAGCAGCTCCTGGGCCATCGATGATATTAGCAATGGTACTTAATTAGCTATGGCCAAAGTCACCTCTTAATTACTAACATTAGTGCTGGTTGATACTTGTAAAGTTTGTGTATTTTGTGTGAATTTTGTCGTTTTGGGTTTAAAGTATATGTAAAGGCAAAAACTGTTTTTTTTTTTAAAGATTTGGAAGAGGAAGGGTTAGATCCTGTGTGATTTGGAAGATGAAGGGTTAGATCTTGTGTGAAGTGTTTAATTGATGCATGTGTCCTCATTGAGGATATTCACTCTGTTACTTGTACTGGTGACCTTTGACAGCAAGACAAAGGGTGATAATGAATCTTCCAATGGGGATACCTGTACCTGTGATAAAGAACACCTGTGCCAGAGGAAGTTCCCTCACTTAGAGGAAGATTTCCTCTAGCTTCCTGTTGCCTGGGACAAGACGTGAAGAAAAGCTTCCCAATGGTACACAGCCAGCAGAAAAATTATTTGATGGGGGTTTTAACCCTTCCCTAATCTAAAACTAAAGAAAATTGTGGCTATATATACATTTATATTTGATCTGGACAATACAGCATGCTAACATAATATGACTATGAAATCATTTAACTTTATCATCAAAAAATAATAGACTTTTAAGAAGCGTTTTGGTTGTCACGTATGGTAATGTCCATAGTTATTGTTTTAGCTGTAAATGGAATGACAAGCCTTGAAGGGCAGTGTGACCTTGTGCTGAAAACAATATTAATCTTTATAAAACATTGTATACAAGGCATATGACATCTAACAATTTGTCACAGTATTAAAAAGAGACAACTGAAAGCAACAAATAAAAACTATCAAGGGCGAATTTTACTTGTCCTGTGTGCCCAGTCATTCGTTGACTTAGCTGTCCCGTGCTTTAAAAAGTACATGTATGAAACATGCAAAACTATTGTAATGAGATTAATTTCAGAAGGGATCCCTGTGGGCATGAATTGCTTAAAAGTGAGCTCGAATTGTGGCTGTCAGCGACTAGTCAATGTTAGGGCAGAACGGAGAGTGGCAAGACTGGTACAAGACAACAGAAGGGCAACAGTGCAGTGTCAGATTCCTCGCATCAACTTTCAACATATCGTGGAGTCACGAGGCGGGCCAACGAAGTCATCTCGTGGAGTCATCTCGTGGCCCAACAAAGTACTGATGGGGTGGTCATAATAATCTGGCCACTCAGTGTATAATGAGAAATATGGGCCCATTTAAAGGGAAAGTTTTTCTAGTGAGTTCATATTCTGAGTTATTATTGCAGTGTTTGCATAAAAGGGATTTTTGATGTGGCTTTCATGTGTTTAAATGCTCGCTCTTCCATACTTTTTATTGTGTTATATAAAGAGATTTGTAGATAAACAATTAGAAGATACTTGGTATTTGCCTCATTCACTCTCCTTGTTAAAGGGTTATTAAAACCTCCGGTGTTTTTGCATATATCTATGGCTAGCAAGCAGTAGATATATGCAAAACGTGTTAAAAAAAAAAACCATATTAAAAGCGGTTTAAACTTACCTGTGTCTTTGCCACGCGTTCCAGTCCGAAAATGTGAAAATTCTCGGGCGCCCACAAAGCATCTTTGGGCGGGCGCATGCGCAGTTCGGATTTTCGGCCGGGAGACGAGCAGAGACGCAAGGTAAGTCTATGGACATGTGCACCCGCATGCAGACACCGTGTGACAGGAAGTGCCAGCAAGGACAGAGGAGTCAGCGCTGGATCAGAGACCCGCCACAGCACTGGAGGGACAGATGAAAAGGACAGGAAGAAGATCGGATTAAGAGACATCATTTAAGTTAAGTGCTGACATTAACATTGGGGGGAGGGAAACATTTTTTTTTAACTTTAATGTCACTTTAAAGCAGTATTAAACTCACAAACGCCCAGACCACACGAATATACATTGCCCAGAAAAGTATTTCTTTACATACTTACAGTCATCATATTTCCAAACATCTTCAACTCTCTCAGCTCAGCTTCCATGAACTTCCTGTCCAGTAGGAGATCACAGGGGACAGAGCAGTCTGCAGGAGCTGTACATCTAGTAGTTTGGCGAAGGGAGGGGAGAGGAAAGAGAAGGGAGGAGGAGGGAGCTGGAGGAGTGGATTGCCTTGCTGTGTCTGTGTGTTTGTGGAAACACACACAGCTTAATAGAACACACAAGGGTGGAGCCATTGGACCCTGCAAGGGAAAGGAGCAAACCCAAAACAGGATATCAGGACCAGTGCTTAGGAGACCAGCTGATTGTGCAGGAAAGTAAAACATTTAAACATCAAGGCGCAGCATTCATTGTAAGTGATTTCATCAGCATTTTAAATAGCTTAAAACTTGTTTGACTTTAATTTCACTTTTAAGTGACTTTGTCACTGGGTTAGGAAAATGTAACAAAGCACCACTTACAAAAGAAGAGGGTTTATACCTACTTTTGCTTCCACCCGTTCTTCCAGTCTTTGCTCGCCTACAGTGCAACAGCCTCTTCACTGAACACTTCCGAGGATGTTAGACCTGCACGCCCGCCCTTGCCCAACACTACTGGAAGTGTCAAATTTGAAGATTCTTCAAGTGGCCACAGCTCTTAAACAGGAGAAGACTTAGGAATGGGTGGTGGGACAGGGAGGTATAAACCCTCTGCTCTTGCAAATCCTGCTTTAATATGTGTTTTTTGAATCAAACGAATGGGGTCAGTGACATGTTAACCATGCAGGTATAGCATTATTGTTTTAGTACACACATATTTATGTTTCTAGCAACATGGTGGCTGCTTTGGGACTATATTTAGGGGCCCATTCATAAACACTTCATTAATGAGTAAATCATATGAAAAATGACTAAGCAAGGGAGCCTTTATGGTGCAGTGTGTTTTCCAGAAATGTCTATACTAGTGCATCCAAATAAAATTTGGCCAGACAAAGCTTACATCGGTTAAATAATATCTTTTTTCCCCCCCAGGAACCAAATAGTCAGTGTAACAATGGCATCTGACCATCAATCTCCTGCCACTAAGCAACAGCAACCTAGCTCAAAGGTAGGTAAAACATACTTAGAATATTTTAACTGGGGCAAACAGAAATGGATGTCTCTGTATTACATTGGATGATATGAGAAATGCCATTTTGCTTGTGTAATATGAGGGAAACCATTGTGCTTGTTTATTTAAGCAATAGAATATTCAGTCCCACGGTTTCATCTAACATGTATAATAACATTCTAACATAATAACATTCTACTTAGGCTGGTCATACACTGATCGAGACTGAATGAGAAAAAAGGCTTAATTCCACAATATACTCTGATTGGCTGCAATCGTTGTTCAGCCAAGTACTTTCAGAGTGCCTCCTTCAGCTAAAAATAGACTTTTGTTGAACGTGGGGGCTGACCTGAAAAGGCCACACGCTGGTTGAATTTTGGCCAAGTCCGGCCAGCTTTATACTGAAGGTGGTAATCTCCCCTGAATTTTAACCCGTCATGCAGGGGGCCAAATAAAATGTCTATTGGACTACCTAAGTAGTACTTTATCACCATGAGTTGTAAAAGAGACCTTTATGCTAATGTTATTAGTAAGGTAGAAGCATAACAGAAGAAGGAAGGCAGTAGAAATAATAACCAAAGAAGAATGTTTTGTTGAAAATGAAGTATTTCTAGATCTGAAGGTGTGCTTTGCATAAGATCATTATTTTTGGCCCAAAGCTGGATCTGTGAGGTACTACTCACTGATTCAAATATGAAGTCCATTCTAACCATGGCCACGAAATGGTAAGCTAAAACACAATCTAAATTCATACGCAAAAACAAAAATCAAAGCCAGATAAAATCCGAAAGACTAGTCAAACTAACCAGGTCAGTCATTTAGAAGTCCAAGACAATAAAGGGCATATTCATAAAGCAGTGACTCTGACATTCACCACACATTCACTGCAGGTAAATCTTCCAGGTTAATGTGTTTGAATATTTGGTGAAGGTCACAGTCACTGCTTTGTAAGTATGCACTTGAGGGAAAACAAGAGCACACCATTACCAACAACACATGCACATCCAGGGGAAGAGTAGGGAGGGGGTTAAGCCATTGGGGAGATTTCAGTCAACTTTCTGTCTTGGAGGTGCAACAGGAAATTACAGAAAATGTTGACAAAATGAGTGAAATACCTATCTTAGGCAGTTGTCACTGGAAAATTTGTCCCCATTGGATAATTTCTAACTCCCCAATTACATTTCTAGGGGTTCATCTTTCATGGAATAGTATAGTCAATATATACTTGTTCTGTTTCTGTAAGTGTTTTTAACGTGATACTGTTTCATAATCTGCCTGTGCCAACAAGTGAAGTGTGGGGAATCCTACTCTACTGACTGGATTTACTTGCTGTAACTCTACTGGTGGATTTACTTACTCTTACTCTAATGGATGAATTTACTTAATTTACTGGGTATATTTTCTCCTTCCTACTCTACTGGGTGGATTTACTTACTCTTGTTCTAATAGAAGGGTTTACTTACTTTACTGGATGGATTTACTTACTCTTACTCTAATGGATGAATTTACTTAATTTACTGGGTATATTTTCTCCTTCCTACTCTACTGGGTGGATTTACTTACTCTTGTTCTAATAGGAGGGTTTACTTACTCTACTGGATGGATTTACTTACTCTTACTCTACTGGGTAGATTTAATTACTCTTTCTTTAATGGGTGAATTTACTTACTTTGCCAGGTGGATTTACTTCCAAAAGAAGGACAGTCTCTCTGAATGTGGCCCACTTGGAGCCATGTATTAGATTTCTTACGTTCAGCCCACAGGTTGATATTTGAAAAAGCTATGCCTGTATGACTAGTTACAGTAGAAAGGAATAAAAACATGCTGCATAGGCCACTTGTTCGATCTTCACATTTAGTTCAGGAAAATGCAGTGCAGTACTAAAAAAGCAATAGGTGCAGCAGTGTTATTTGCTGACATACAACTCAGCATGTGCTGTAATGCCACAGCAGCCAGTAGTCAGTGTTTTCCCTGCCTAGTTGCTTACTCAGACCTTATCAGTACTGATCAGCATGTGAACTGGAACAGAAGAACGAGAGATATCCATGCTCATCCCCTGTGGATTTGTGTCATGTGACCTGTGACACAGGGAACAGCTCCTGTCTCTCTGAGGTGGGACATGTGCTAATGTAGTGTAGCGCCCTCTAAAATTTCGCTATTCAATTTAGAGATACCTGGACTGTAACCAGTCTAGATACTGATTATACAGAGCTCTGCATTCTATAGGTGTCCCTGAGTCTGCTGGATTGATTGCTCCTCCTGTTGCTGAGGAAAAGGGAGCCTTGGTATACAGTGAGGGAGGATCCACCCTCAGGTTATGACTATGCACCTGGCCCTAGCCAATCCCTGAGTAGGATGACTCAGAGGCATGGTTGAGGGCAGGTGATAAAAGGTCTGGGGACATTGTGGAGAGCTCTCTTTCCCCTAGGGGCCTCGCCCTAGGAGGACTGTGTGTGATGCAGAGCAAGCAGCCTGGGCCTCAGCACATGGCAGGTGCTGAGGGGCCTGGAGGCCTAAGGATACACTGATACTTCACTGGGCCCATACACGTGGCAGGTGTTGGGTGCCTTGTTCTAAGAAGATACTCTCATTTAACTGGAGTGCTCCTTGGCAGTTGCAGATGCTGAGGGCACAGAAGTTCCAGATCCTAAAGAGGAAAATACCTGATGGAAGCTGGGTCGGGGAGGAGTCCGCTTGTTGAGGGGTACCGCAGAGGAGCTGGTGCGAGCAACCGTCTGGGACCCACAAGGGAGATCCCACACCCTATTCCAGGTATCTGTTCACCAGGGGCTGACTGACAACTTTTGGCCCAGGGAGCAAGTAACACCCAGAGGCCCACTGAGCCCCCCTCCTGCTTTCCCTCTTCCCCTGCGTGCTCCCCACCCCCCTTGCCACGTTCGTCAGCCATGTACTGTTCTCCTTGGCCGCTGAAGTAGCGTATTAGCGCCGGCCCGACGGGGGCCGTTTTTAGAGGCAACAGAGAGGCCCAGGGGGCAATTGCCACCCTGCCCCCCGGCCCAGTCCGCCCCTGCTGTTCACAGTACTACTACTACTACTACTATTGGTCCCTGGGACCAGATCGCAGTGATTTCGGCCTTAGCGGTTGCTAGGGGAGAAAGCTGTCCTCAGAAGTATTTCCAAATGGCATCCTACAGATCCTAAACCCTCTCTCTCCTATTGATGTTGCAAATAAATACCCTAAAAAGACCCTAAGACTCGAGCCGTTCTGTCCGTGAGTGTCGGTGTGCTGTTGCCGATTAAAGGGGAATGGCAGCTGGAACCAACAGGTAGGAGAACCTATTTCAAACTCAGCGGCTCCTTCGGGGGTGAGCGCTACAGTAGTGTCAGGGTAATGTAATGTAATGTAATGTAGGGTCAGGCAAAGTTCTCTGTGTAACGCAGTACACTGCAAGGCCTGCAACATGCAGCACATTGCGCCAGAACTGCTCCAGCATACCATGTTACCTGCACTGTCAGAACACAAGAAAGTGTGGGAAATATAAGAAAAACAATTGTTTCTTTCATTTAAAGACCCTGTGACTTGCCCATCCATGGCAAAGTGACAACGTCTCTTTCAAGCTCACCCCTTCAACCTTGTTATACACATCTTTTCATGATGCTCCCCCTGCCTCTCCCTCTTCCATAACAGCTGCCCTATAATACCTGGAGAGGGTAATGTCACAACTCCCTGTAAATGGAAGGAGCAGCGGGAGAATCACTGTATAAGTGAGTATAAAAGGGTCATGGGGTTAAGCTTTAAATAGACCGTGTCATATTGTCCTGAATGGACGGTTTGATAGGGGTCTTTTAATGGCTTAGTTTATTTCATTGACCATTTCTTACTTTTTCTGCACTGTCCATTTCCTTTTCTCATCCTTTATATACATTCTTCTCTAATCTTGCTGCGTTAAACACAAATGTGGAGACAGTCATTTTAAAGGACATTTAAACTAAAACACAAAAATTTAATATATTACAGATTCTCATTTCTTAGATGTGGTGGCTGCATTCGCTTTCTTTTTTAAGGCCTGCTTCTCCCTTTATTTTTACCTGATGATCCTGCCAGTAACACATTTTCTAGGTTGACAACACTTTCTCACCATACTGTATGTTTGTAAGAGCAGCTTTATCATCCTAGCACAGGACTGCAGAACACCACCCACTCTCCTATGCTCTATTACATAGGAAGGAGGGTTGTGCAATTGACAAAAGATATCTTGGAAAGCTGATAACTTTGTGAGAGTTCAGTAAAAAGGACATTTTATGGACACTAGATTTCTATCAGGTTCTACTACTATTTTTCTGTACTTGCTGAAAGTGCACTTAACCTGAAAAAAGAACACTAATGCATCCACAACATCTAAGAGTTAGTAAGCTGCAAAACATTACATTTTTGTTTCTGAGTTTAGATATACTTTAAGGCAAGGGTTCTCAACCTGTGTAACCTCAGGATAAGGAGTAACCTCAGGAGTGATAACCCACATTTGTCCTTGGTCATTAAGTCCCGACCCAAGTGGCACTTCAATGGAAGTGGGTGAGAGGTGCGTTTTTGGGGTGATATTCAAATGGCAACGCAACGCACCTCCAGCACCAGAACGCATAGTAGGTGTGATTGCGTAGTACAGTGCGTTAATGGCACAGGACTGTTCGATTAATGCACTGTACTAGTGTGAACAGGCCCTCAAAAATAGACAAACACAATCTCACACACATATACACACTCCAAAAAACACATTTTAATTTTCTTTTCTTTTTTTTAAGATCAACCCAGTATCCCTATATTAAGAGATCTGGAGTGGGTCCTCATCCTGGGGTTCAGTGTGGGCTGCTGTGCTGTGTCGGAGCTCTATTGATATGTGCATTACTTGTACAACTCCCTTGCGCATCTTGTAGAGGTGCAAGCAAACAGAATGTGACATCATTCCAGTGCAGGCACCTCTAAAGGACATGTGAGTGAGCTGTAAGCAATGCATGTATGGATCGAGCTCCCTCGCAGCCATAGCTCCAGCCCATCGCACCTCAAGCTGACATTAAGTCATATTTTAAATGGCTGCTTGGCGCGATAACTGACAGTGCCGCACTAGGGGAGTACCTAACCTAGAAAAGTGAAAGGCACGCGGCGACCCACTGAACACAGGGTTGGGACCCACTTTTTGGGTCACGACCCACCAGTTGAGAACCAAGGCCTTAAGGGGCATTGATCTCTAGCTTTCTCATGTAACATATCTTAGTCTCTGGCATTCCCATGTAGATTATCCCCAGTCTCCGAGCATTCCTGAAGTATGCCTGCGGTCTTTGAGTATGTTCCACAGCATGTGCCTTGTCTCGGACCATCTCCTGTAGTACGACAGTCTTGTGTAATATTACATATGCTGAATATCATGTGCAGCCCTTTGGCACATATTTTGTAGCCTTATGCTAAAAATGATGTGCTGCCCTTGTTGCACCCTATATTTTGTCTGCTCCAATTTTGATAAATTCCCCCTATTGCATATACTAATGGTGTTGAGAATGTAGTTTATTAATAATTAGATATACTTTTCCTATTAAATCCAGTTTTTGTATCTATTATTTGTATGTCACCTGTTATTTGAGCACCTATAAATAGTAAAATGTATTCAATGCTGAACTTTTAAGTTTTTGTTTAAAAACTTTGTTAGCAAGGTTTGTGCTTTTGTTAAAAAAACATATACATATTGTTTTTTCACCAATGTATGTACTTGCTGTGGTTCAAGTTCACAATTTCACTAATTCTAATGTTGTATGACGATAACAGCTTAATGATAATTTAAAAAGTGTTGAGACGTATGGTTAATACAAGACACAGGAAGATAGACATGCAATGAAAATAAAAAAGATAACAGTCTATATGACATAAAACAAAATGGAAAAGGTGCCAACTTTACTAGTCATGCTTTAGACAGTTCAGTAGCAGTGTTGGAACAAGTAAGAAAGCTCATGACCTTGGCTTCATTCAATTAGATAATATAAATGAATGAATTTACAAGATAACAATAATAATCCCTTTCTGGCTTCAAGAGTGTTACTAACAATTATTTGAATCCATATGCATACAGTGTGACCTTATGTGTTCTCCTGGAATAGACTGACAAACATGAAATTAGTCTATGTGGAAATAATGCACATTAATCCCATTAATGCATTTATATTTATGTTTGATACAGCAAGCCTGGCAACCGTAAAGAGTCAATCTGATAACATTAAAGAGGCATGAATGTCTTCTGTCATTCCTCTTGATAGCTTTGTAGATACCTTTCTTCCAGGAGACATTCATTAATTTTTGCAGTTAAATACAAGGCTTAGTCTTATCATGTGTGTTTCTGTGTGGGGGTGGTTTTCCAACCTACTTATTTAATGAATGGCAGTCCTCATTCTAATTAGTTTAGAAGGACAAAAGTATGGTCAGTGTAGCTCCCGGAACTGCCATGAGACCCACGAGCGCAACAATCCTTCTCTATCTGGCTACGTGATATTAAATAATAGTGGACCTGTAAAATATTTATGTGCTATAGCACCTGTGCCAGCAGTTAGAATGTGGCAGTGTTATCTATGAAGTAGACAGCCCAGAGTGGTGGGATTGTAGTAATGTGAAGGATAGGGATCCCATAATAATTAACCCTGTTGAAGGGTCCGATTTTCAGCAGATATACAATGTGCCGCCCCAACAGGGGCATAGAATATGAGATGCATAGCCTCAGTTAATATTAGCATTGTTATATAGGTTAGAATTTATATAGTGTGATTTGCCTAACTATTTTCTCATAGCTAAATTCATTTGTTATCCTATGCTGCCATCTAGTGGCCTTTTGTTGTAACAAACATGCTTTCTGTAATTATTCCTCATGTGACGAGGTATTTCCCCCTAGTGTATGTAGCCCCACCCTTCTTCCTGTGTGCAGTACTTCCTGTGTCATGGAAAAGCCAGCAGCCACATGTAACAAGGACACACATATAATCTGCACAGTACGGAGGAAAGGCATCATTTTCTGACCGCACAATACTATAACCGTTCAACTGCTGTTCCTATCATCTGCTGTAACCTGATGTAGAAGAATAAACACCTTTTTTGAATGAATCGGTATTGACGAGTTCAGCTATCTGACGAGGATTGTCCGCAGTGAGTATATCTGCTTATACAGGCCAGGCATAGAGGTCTCAGCAAGGGATATATTTCGCTATCACAACGATCGGAGTCAGAATATACAACCATTGGCACCCAAAGGAGCTCTCCTGTGTTATCCACAGCCTAAAATAATGTGACTGTATACATTTTATATGAAATGGCTGGTTTTCTGATGATGATGGGATAAAAATGTGTGGTTAATGATTATACAGGCAAAATTCACCACTTTGCCTCTGCCTCCTATGGGCACAAGCTTGCGGTATATAATGGTAGATGTCGTCTTGTCCTACAGTGAAGTCCAAAAACTAGGTTAACCCATGCCTACCCTATCTGTAAATATTTGGTATTTAAATGTATGCATATCAACCTTTTGGCTGTAAATACCACCATGTACACCTAATACACCATATACAGGTGAAACTCGAATAATTAGAATATCTTGCAAAGTTCATTTATTTCACTAATGCAACTTAAAAGGTGAAACTAATATATGAGATAGACTCATTACATGCAAAGCAAGATAGTTCAAGCCGGTGGCCAAGCCAATATAATTCCCCTCCTCCCTACAGCCGGTTGCCGGCTGACTGTTCATTCCGTAACCTCTCAATCCCTAGTGTCTCCCCCCATTGTCCCTGCCCCCCATCTCTCACATTATTATGGCCCCACTTAAGTTGGTTTCGTATAATGTTAGAGGCCTTAATATACCTGAAAAGCGGAGGATGATCCTCTCTGAGCTACACCGTCAACAGACTCAAATAGGGTTCCTCCAGGAGACTCATTTCTCAGCGGCTAAACCCCCTATGCTCCGAGACCGTTACTACCCCACGGTGTATCATAGTTACTCCCCAGATAAGAAATCCCGTGGGGTTAGCATCCTCTTGTCTCAGTCAGTCCCATGGTCCCAGCTCGACATGTTCGCCGCTGAGGAAGGCAGACTGCTTATGATTAAGGGGAAGATAGTTCAAGCCGTGATTTGTCATAATTGTGATGATTATGGCTTACAGCTCATGAAAACCCCAAGAACCCCAAATCCACAACCTCAAAAAAGTAGATTATTACATGCAATCAATAAAACAAGGATTGTACATAGAACAATATCGGACCTCTGAAAAGTACAAGCATGCATATGTACTCAGTACTTGGTTTGGGCCCCTTTTGCAGCACTTACTGCAATTACTTTTGCACGATATTCTAATTATTCGAGTTTCACCTGTACATATAAAAAGCTCTTGTACATTTAGGAATATACAGACAATGTATTCAGTTCTCACTTTATGGAAGACTGAAGACCAAATTCAGATCTGGACTGAGATTGAAAGTGTAACTTTACACAATAAATGCCCCAGGCCCTCCTTATCAGTACTAGCATTAAACATATATACCCCCCTCAATCTGAGCCTCGTGCATATTATGGCATTGCATTTGGATGTGCTGAGTGCAGCAATTAATTTCTATGAAAGCATTAAGCACATGTAAAAAAAAGTTAGGCATATGGACATCAGAGAACACAATCGAGAGAAACCCGTACCAAGGCCTTGTAAATACTGATCAGTTCTGGCCAGAATGTGAAGTGTATTTGCATGGGATGTTGCATTTTTAGTGATGATGTGGGTGTATTGGGTAACTAAGCTTACACTTTAAATAGGGAAACAGCATTAATACATTTTTTTATGTGAACATATTCTAAGAACATTAAAAATCTTCTGACTTTCAGATTGTCCTGTTTGAGCAAGAAAACTTCCAAGGCCGCTGCCATGAACTCAGTGGACCCTGTACCAGTCTAAAAGAGGCTGGTATGGAGAAAGTTGGCTCTATCCTCGTACACTCTGGACCGTATGTATCAGAGCATTTTTTTGTAGTTTATAATATAATTTTATACACATAGGGCTACCAATTTCATTATGAACCATGATTACCATTGAGGCTTATGTGAAACTACATCTAAGATAATATTGCACGGGGAATGTAATGTGACTAGCAACTATTTTTACAAATGAATGTAGATATTATATTTGATGTTATCAATGCATTATTAATCAGATCACTCATGTAAAATAGCTTAGAAAAGGAGACTCTGGTAATAGGAAATAAGAAGCATGCATAGATCAGTAACTCACAGTAAAGAATTATTAATTTGTTATTGTTCTATTTGCTTTAGGTCCTGTGTTGACAGGCTTTTGTTCACGTCAATTGGGTTTTGCATTTACATACATGTACAGAAATTCAAAACCCACTTGAAGCAGGTCAAATTCAGGTCATAAGGAGATTCACTACAGGTCAAATACACCTATCAATTAATACTGAATGATCTCAGAAGTGTTTTAAACTGATGTAAAACTGATGCCATTGACACAAGCACAAAGCCTGTCAACAAAGGCCCTTATAGTGATGAACTGTGATATTTGATACCTTTTTAGAGGAAGAGCCAGCTGTGCCCGGACCCTCCCCCGTTCGTTCCTCCACTCAGCACTGGAGGATCGGAGAGGGGATTTGGGATTTCCTTGCGGGGGGAGCGGTGACTAACAGTCACTGCTCACTGCAGTGAGACAATTGGAAAGTGAGTGGATCGGCTGCATGTTTCTGCTCACTTCCCAATCAATAGAGCCGACCTGTGACAGCTTGTTTGTCACAGGTTGGTTCTAACTAAGAGGATGAGGGGAAATCACTCACCTCATAGATCTCCTTTAAGCACAAGTTGCTAGATACTGGGCAGAAAGCTAGTTTAAGCTAGTAATTAAACATGATCCCAATTATACTATATTTGTTACCAAATGCAGCATTGCTGCCTTGAGAATGTCAGTACACATATTGTTATTACTCTAAACCATGCATGTGGTACCTGATTTACTGCATTACACATACAGTATACGTTAAAATAGATATGAAGCTGAGACTCAGTGGGCCTCATTTACTAAAACAAAACATACATAAGCAGGGAGAAACCACTATGAGGATAGTTGGTGCGCTTCTCTGTCAGAGCCAGCTGTACCCGCCCCTCCCCCGTCACGGCAGAGAAGCGTGACAGTATTGAGAGGTGAGCGAACGCCGGTTTGTGTTCTCTCACCTCCCGATCTAGTGAGCCGACCTGTGACTGTCTCATTGTCACAGGTCGGCTAGAACTATGAGGTGAGTCCTTTAAGCACTGCTTGTGCAGGAAGCGAGATCCGATTGCGTTTTTTTGTCTGGATTGTGGGTGAACTCATTTCTGTGTAGGTGCTTATTCTTTAGTAGAACAGGCCCATCATAAAACAATTTGGTGAAAGGAGTAGAGAAACAAACTCATATGATCAAAGTGAACACAGCTTCACCTTATTTGCTGAGTGAATCATCTGCTCATATACGAACACAAATCCGCTTTGGCAAAACCCCATTCCCTTTTCTCCCTGAAAGTGCAGTTTGCAGGGTAGCATCTAATCTTGTGCCCAGTGTCAGCTACAGTTTTGTTTGAAGGGTTAGTTCAGCTCTATAGAAAAAAACCCCATAACCCTGAACTATGCAGATTTTACAAATAAGCTTGTATGCTGTTTTAATATTGTAGCGCTACCCCCGCAGGAGCCGCTGATTATACCAGGTCTTTCTTTCCCCCTGCACCAATGTACCGCCCAAATGTGGATCCATAGCACACCAACACACCTTTGAATAGTTTTATAGCAGATTTAATGACAAAACCAGATTGGAATAGATATATGGCAATAATAATAATAATACTAACAGTCACAAAAAGCATGTGTAGTAACAGGCTAAGGCACTCTGCAACTCAGCAACTGCAGGAGGCTAATTGTCTGAAACCATTTCCCTTGATTGGGGTGTATGTACCTTTAAGATCTCCCCTTAACAATGTCCGGCCCTCCCTAGACTATTGGCCAGTAGTAGAGTCCTAGGCTAGCCAACGTTGGGGCGCTTACTGTAATGCAGATATGAACAACAGGTTGTCACTGTGGCCAAAGGCCTCTCACCACTCCTAAGGTCAGTTTGAAGAGTTTGAAGAGATGCTAGCAGAAATCCGGCATCCCCTTTCTCTCAGTTCGACTCTTGCGAAGAGGGTGAAGTCATCTGGGTCTCTTGTAGGAGGTTTTCACTCATCCAGGGCATTGGCAGTCATCTCGGTCATCTCCGTCTGGCGCCGCTCTCTCAGCCGGGCTGGCTGGGTCACCCCGATGACTGATTCGACTGTGCGACTAGGCCTCGAGGTCCTCACTGCAATCGCGTCACCGGGCCTTACTTCAGGCACTCGATCGGGACCTATCCGTCTCAGCAAAGTCAGGTCAGTCTCTCTGTACACTGTTGCCCAGAGCCTGTGTGTCATTGTATGTCAGCGGTGACCACACAGCTCTGTTGTATACAGTCTTAATCCACGCAGGGTTACACAGGTCTGTCCTCTTCAGATGGCTGTCCCAGACTGAGCGCGTACAGCAGCCACCGCCCCTAAGTCTCCTCCTCTCTCCTGCACAGCCTTCTGGGAGTTGCAGTTTCAGAGATAATTCTTGTAAATGTTCCAGTCTCTGCTCTGCACTCCAATCCCCATAAGTCTCCGCCTCCAGGGCACACAGAGGCAATTAACTGTTCCCAGTCAGGAACATGAATCACTGTAATAGCACCTATATACATATATATATATATATCTATAGGGGCTACAATACCTTTTGTTCATCATCATAAGAAGTGAAGCCTCCTAAAAAAATCTCTTGGGAAGCGCAATCCTTCTCTTGATCCCCTGCACATGCACAGTCTGCTCTGTCTCCTGTCACTGCAGATGAGCTCAGCAGCTGTGACTGCAGACACAGAAGACTGTGCATGTGCAGGATGTAGAGAAGGACCGCTAGGTGCGTTAGTTCTAACAGCTGATCTGTCCTAAACAGAAGACAGGCTGGACCTTTGGACACTGCAGGGATTTTCTTTGGAAGGCTTTACTCCATGTTTTAATGAACAAAGGGTTTTAAAACCAAATAACAAAACTATTTGTAAAATCGGCTTAATTCAATGTTATAGGATGGTGTTTAGGGACAGTATAGGTTATTTTTCTATAACGTTGAACTAACCCTTTAAATTAGACAAGTAGCAAAGCTTTAGCCTTGTCTTCAGTGAAGACTAGAAAAATTACTTTAATCTGGTTTTCTGGAGACATATATAATCAAGTATTTTATAGTAGGTATTAAATATTCAGAAGACTTCTTAAATTATCTAGGCCTGGCTGGCACTACTATCCAGAAAAATAATGTTGCTTCTATTCCGCAGCTGGGTAGGATACGAACAACTGAACTGCAAGGGAGAACAATTTGTCTTTGAGAAGGGAGAATACCCTCGCTGGGACTCCTGGACGAACAGCCGAAAGAGCGACAGCATCTCCTCTCTGAGACCAATCAAAGTGGTAAGAACAAGATTACACAAATTCCCTAATATATTATATGGAGTATATTCAGAAAAATACATTCTTGACAGGAAACCTGCCAGAAATACACGGGCTCCCACTTTTTACCTCTGCTACTGAAAAAGCTAGTTGTCTCTAATCCAGAACAAGTATAGGTATAATTATTCTGACTTTTCTTTGACTTTGACTTGCTGCATGCCTGTTCTGGGCCATCGATTCAGAATTATGGAAGCCAAACACAACAAGGCAACTAGTATTTTAAGATACTGGCCAGTAATTAAATGTATATATATTTTGAAGTACACATATCATGGGAGCAACATGCAGGCTGCAATTGTTAACTTCCTGCTGGCAATTCTAGTTGCATGGCTGTCTTTGGTCTCAATACTTTCTGAGCCACTGACCTAGAACAAGCATGTATCAAGTAACTTCAGAGGTTAGAACAGGGGTGGGCAACTCTGGCCCTCCAGCTGTTGTGGAACTACAAGTTCCATGAGGCAATGCAAGACTGACAGTTACAGGCATGACTCCCAGAGGCAAGACATGTTGGGTTTTGTAGTTAAAGCACAGCTGGAGGCTGGAGTTGCCCACCTCTGGTTCAGATAGATCAGTGCACATGTTACAGGTCCATAAATCAGGATGTTCAGAGACGAGCAGAAACTGGCAGATCCAGAGTGGCAACCTCCATATTTTTTGATTACAGGTTTCATTTTAAGTGGGCTGTTTTAGGATGAATAAAATGCTATAGGATCATTGCATACTTGTTTGCAAATTATAGCAGAAATCATTATGCTACTAGAGAGCAAATTTTTTTAATTCCCACAGTTTAATAATAATACACACCAACGGGTCAAATTACATGGCTTTATAAATGAAAAAAAAAGGTTTTAATCTCACCAGAAATCCAGTGAGCTTGTAAGTTCCTGTCCACTTCCTGTGCCTCTGCTGCTGTGTTTTCATCAA